GAAATATAGATCAATGGAACAGGAAGGAAAGCCGAGAGATAAAACCATGCACATATGGTCACCTTATCTTTGATAAAGGAGGCAAGAATATACAGTAGAGAAAAGACAGCCTCTTCAATAAGTGGTACTGGGAAAACTAGACAAGTACATGTAAAAGTATGAAATTAGAACACTCCCTAACACCATACACAAAAATAAACTCAAACTGGATTAAAGACTTAAATGTAAGGTCAGACACTATAAAACTCTTAGAGGAAAACATAGGCAGAACACTCTATGACATAAATCACAGCAAGATCCTTTTTGACTCACCTCCTAGAGAAATGGAAATAAAAGCAAAAATAAACAAATGGGACCGGATGAAACTTCAAAGCTTTTGCACAGCAAAGGAAACCATAAACAAGACCAAAAGACACCCCTCAGAATGGGAGAAAATATTTGCAAATGAAGCAACGGACAAATGATTATCTCCAAAATTTACAAGCAGCTCATGCAGCTCAATAACAATAAAACAAAAAATCCAATCCAAAAATGGGCAGAAGACCTAAATAGACATATCCCCAAAGAAGATATACAGATTGCCAATAAACACATGAAAGAATGCTCAACATAATTAATCATTAGAGAAATGCAAATCAAAACTACAATGAGATATCATCTCACACTGGTCAGAATGGCCATCATCAAAAAATCTACAAACAATAAATGCTGAGAGGGTGTGGAGAAAAGGGAACCCTCCTGCACTGTTGGTTGGAATGTTAATTGATAACAGCCACTATGGAGAGCAGTATGGAGGTTCCTTAAAAAACTAAAAATAGAACTAACATACGACCCAGGAATCCCAGTCCTGGGCATATACCCTGAGAAAACAATAATTCAAAAAGAGTCACGTACAAAATATTCATCACAGCTCTATCTACAATAGCCAGGACATGAAAGAAACCTAAGTGTCCATCGACAGATGAATGGATAAAGATGTGGCACATATATACAATGGAATATCATTCAGCCATAAAAGGAAAGGAAATTGAGTTATTTGTGGTGAGGTGCATAGACCTAGACTCTGTCATACAGATCGAAGTAAGCCAGAAAGATAAAAACAAATACCATATGCTAACACATATATATGGAATCCAAGAAAAAAAAAAAGGTCGTTAAAACCTAGGGGCAAGATGGGAGTAAAGACACAGACCTACTAGAGAATGGACTTGAGGATATGGGGAGGGGGAAGGGTAAGCTGTGACAAAGTGTGAGAGTTTCATGGACATATATACACTACCAAACGTAAAATAGATAGCTAGTGGGAAGCAGCTGCATAGCACAGGGAGATCAGCTCGGTGCTTTGTGACCACCTAGAGGGGTGGGATAGGGAGGATGGGAGGGAGCGAGACGCAAGAGGAATGAGATATGGGAACATATGTATATGTATAACTGATTCACTTTGTTATAAAGCAGAAACTAACACACAATTGTAAAGCAATTACACTCCAATAAAGATTTTTTTTTAAAAAAAGGAAAAGAAAAGAATACTTGACAAATTCAAGTAAATAAATAAATAAATAGAAATAAACTCAAAATGGATTAAAGACCTACAAATCTCTTAGAGGAAAACATAGGAAGAACACTCTTCGAGATGAATCACAGCAAGATCTTTTTGACCCATCTCCTAGAGTAATGGAAATAAAAACAGAAATAAACAAATGGGACCTAATGAAACTTAAAAGCTTTTACACAGCAAAGGAAGCTATAAACAAGACAAAAATTCAACCCTCAGAATGGGAGAAAATATTTGCAAATGAATCAACGGACAAAGGAATAGTCTCCTAAATATATAAACAGCTCATGCAGTTCAATATTAAAAGAACAAACAACCCAATCAAAAAATGGGCAGAAGACATAAATAGTCATTTCTCCAAAGAAGACCTACAGATGGCTAAGAAGCACATGAAAAGCTGCTCAACATCACTAATTATTAGGGAGATGCAAAGCAAAACTACAATGAGGTTTCAACTCACCTCAGTTAGAATGGGCATCATGGGACAATCTACAAACAACAAATGCTGCAGAGGGTGTAGAGAAAAGGGAACCCTCCTGCACTGTTGGTGGGAATGTAAATTGATACAGTCACTATGGAGAACAGTATGGAGGTTCCTTAAAAAACTGAAAATAGAAATACCATATGACCCAGCAATCCCACTACTGGGCATATACCCAGAGAAAACCGTAATTCAAAAAGACACATGCACTCCAATGTTCATTGCAACACTACTTACAACAACCAGGTCATGGAAGCAACCTAAATGCCCATTGACAGATGAATGGATAAAGAAGATGTGGTACATATATACAATGGAATATTACTCAGCCATAAAAAGGAATGAAACTGGGTCATTTGTAGAGACATGGATGGACCTAGAGACTGTCATATAGGGTGAAGTAAGGCAGAAAGAGAAAAACATACATCGTATATTAACGTGTGTGTGTGTAGTCTACAAAAATGGTACATATGAACCAGTTTGAAAGGCAGAAATAGAGACACAGATGTAGAGAGCAAACATATGGACACCAGAGGGGGAAAGCAGGGGGTGGTGGTGGTGGGATGAATTGGGAGATTGGGACTGAGATATATACACTAATATGTATAAAACAGGTAACTAATAAGAACCTGCTGTATTAAAAAATACAATAAAATAAAATTCAAAAATAAATAAATACATTGGCACTGGACTGTATTTTTTTAATTATTAGTGACTGTAATTGATTAAAGCACACTGAATCTATTATATCCATAAGTTCAAAATGATATTCAAAAAAATCTAAGAGGGCTTCCCTGGTGGCGCAGTGGTTGAGAGTCCACCTGCCGATGCAGGGGACGCGGGTTCGTGCCCCGGTCCGGGAAGATCCCACATGCCGCGGAGCGGCTGGGCCCGTGAGCCATGGCCACTAAGCCTGCGCATCTGGAGCCTGTGCTCTGCAACGGGAGAGGCCACAACAGTGAGAGGCCCACGTACCGCAAAAAAAAAAAAAAAAAAAAAATCTAAGAGACACAAAATAACACAGTGGATACCACTGTAAGTTGCTAAGGCAGCTATTCACTACTATGAAAATCATTAATTAAAGAAAATTAATCTTGTGTCTCTGGCATGAAGTGCGTTTCACAGTAACGAAATTGGGTGGGAGAAAGTTCTTCAATACAGAATGAATCATTTATAAATGCAGAATGAAGGACAGAAAGTTTACTGTAAATGCTAATGAAACCACTGAGTCAGGCAATGGTCCCTGGTGGATATTAAAGCCATTAAGAGCAAAGGTAGCAGCAGGGAGCATGACAACAAGCAGGCTGGGCTGCTACCACCTAAACTCACTGGGCAATCTCAACGTCCCTGAAAGGAGGACACCCAGATTCCTTCTCCTCGATACAACTCAAACTCCCAGCACACCTGTGAAGCATATGGACCCCAAAATTTAACCTGAAGGCTTCAGATCTAAATTGTAGTTTGTCAGAGATAGAGGGACTAGAGTAACAATCCTGGGTGCGGGAAATTCTACAGAAAAACAGAATAGGATTTTTCAACCAGTTGGTGGTGCAGTAAAGATCTGGCAAGCCTGAGGCAGCCATCATTAGAAGGGCCTTTAGAAGAGCCTGTCCAGGGTTGGCCTTAGCTGACATCTGAGTACTTGGCTTTTGAAATGTTCCCTGTGTTACCAAGTGATAAGGTTGCTCTGTGGGCCTGGAGTAGTGCATTCTGCTGTACCAGTATGCCTAAACTGTTGGTATAAAAATGTGACTTTTTGTGAACATCTGCCTTACTTCTGGGAGCCTGGGCCTTTGGTGGGCTGAGGGTGCCTATGTGACAAGCCCCCAGCAACAGCCTTGGGCTCTGAATCTCAAGCATCCTGCCCTTGGCAGAAACACTGCCACGGAGGAAGGAGTGTGCTCTCTGTGGCCTCTCAGGGAGAAAACTGCTCAACAACCTGCTCCTGGACCCCTCTGGACTCTGATGGATCACAGAGTGTGTGTGTGGCCATGGAACTCTGAAACAGTGTTAATATTGATTGAAAAGAAAATAGAGAAAGAATGGAGAGAATAGAGCTGCCCCAGAATAAAAGAGACATTAAGAGAAAGAGCAACTAAACCAGTGAGTGGACCTTGCTGGACAGCTAGGGGCTCAACTTGCTGGAGCCAGGCAGACCAGACAGCCACAGGGGACTTCAGGAACTATCCTGGTGACTCCTCCCTCAGCTCACCTCCTTGAAGTTCCACGGCACTTCTCATGCCTCGGGAAGAAAAACCTCTTCACAGTCACATCCTCTCCTGACCCTCCAGGCTCAGCCCACTGGAGCCAACTTTCCCATCAACACGTTGTTGTAAATCTGGTTTCACAATCAAACCAACAATGGACCTGCCCAGCCCAGGCAGTGTCTGTACTTTGTTCCATGCTATTGAAGGTATAGCCACACTTAAAGTTTCCCAGAAAAATTGAATTTATGGGACATGAGATCACTTGTGAAAAGGCTCATTAGCTGAGTTGATAAGCATAAAAGATAATAATCCTTCCCCACGTGTAGCCCAAGGTCTCCCAGGTCCCCATCACACACACAATCCTATGAAGCAGCTAGGGGGCATTTTAACATGCCCATCTTACAGAAGAATACCCTGAGTCTCAGAGAGGTTTAACATTTGTCCCCTCAGGATCACACTTTATGTGAGCAGCAAAGTGAGGGTAAGAAAATCACATGCATATTCAGTTTTCTCAATAAACTTTTGCTGGTGTCTGGCAAAACTTATCTTGCATATGTCAATTGCCAAGATTCAGCAGATATTCCAGTACAGAGCAATTTTCTACCTAGAATGAGGGAAATGTTACTTTTTAGGAAAGACACTATTTCAGTTTGATTAAGATGCAAGACTGAGCCCATCCCTAAACACCCAACAAGTAAGTGTTAAAATACATTTGTGGGCACACAGATAAACCCAGGAGAGCAGGCATGCAAGTTACCTCAAATATAATCAGCACATAGACCCCAGCAAGAATGACTGCAGCCATGGTCACTTGTGCTTCAATGCTTGTGCGGAGGTATTGATGAGCCATCAAAAGAGGAACAACCTGGGTCTGCTGGAGGGAGGCTCGAATGCTGATGGAAACAGGCTCTCTGCAGAATGAAGCAAAGATCTTACCACTGATAAGGGAAACAGACCAGCCATCAACCATTAGTGCTGCTCCCCCGGTGTCTTTCCCAACACGTCATCCATGGCCATAACCAGAGCCTGAACTGATCTCAGAGTGACTTACACAATGCCTGACCTGGCAGATGAGGAGCCCTGAGCACAGGTAAGCTGTATGAGATGCATGCACAGCCTCCCTGTGGCCAGGCCCCTCTGACATAGCTACTCAGCCCCTATCAGGCAGCGCCTTCTTTGCTGCAGCTGCCACTCCAACAATGAACAGTGAGCAGGGAAGTTCACAGTGGTTCTAGCCATTTAATTTTCCCCCTTCCTCCTTATCACATACCTGATTGCTTTACCTGCTAACAAATAGCATAGCCAACTATTCTCACATGTGAGAGATTTGGAAAAGGATGTGCAACCTGAGAACAGGTAGACAGTTTGTCACCAATGGTGTGAAAGCACCAAGAACAAGAAGCATGTAAGTCATCAACAGCACGTGGCATGGTGAAACTATTTCAGTAACTGTTCTAAGCTGAATTGTGTCCCTTCAATACGTGGACTTCCTAACCCCACTTCAGAATGTGACTGTATTTGGAGATAAGGTCTTTACAAAGGTGATTAAGTCAAAAATAGTGACACCAATATGACTGGTGTCCTTATAGGAAAAGGAGTTCGGGGCACAGACATACACAGAGGAACAAGCACGTGAGGACACAGGGGGAAGATGGTGTCTACACAGCAAGGAGAGGGGCCTCAGGAGAGACACACCCTGTTGACAACTTGAGGAAATAAATTTCTACTGTTTAAGCCACCCATCTGTGGTATTTGTTATAGCAGGCCTAGCAAACTCATACAGTAACCAAGAGTACAGACTTAATATGGAGTGGCATTAAAGAAAAAAAGAATCCTAAGATTTTCTAGAATTCCCCATTGCATAGCTTCATGATATTAATGAATTTAAAGCATCAGCTATAAAACACCATTTGCTTCAAAATGGGCCCTGAAATCAATCCTCTTACTTCCTGATACGTGTGGTTTTGCCGCCCGGCCACAGCCTCATGTTCACTGTCTACACAAGAGGAGCATCTCGTCCAAGCCTGTAACTGGCCTGGTTATTCATAACTGGAGTCCCAAGGGTCACACTTCCCTAGGTGAGCGTGTCCCAGAGGAACTTCCCCAAGACCTCAGCCACCAAGACCCACCTGCTCAGAACCTCAAAGGTCCTGCTCAGCACCGTGCGCTCACTTCTGCTTGGATTTAAAAACACCGTCCAGTTATGAGTGACCTGTAAAAGTCAAAGCATGAAATCCTGGTAAGGCTTTGAACCTGGGCCATCACCTGGGGTCCCACGCTGTTCAATGTAGGTCCTTGTTTAGAATAAGGAAAGGAGAAAGAGAGGAGCATGAAGCCTTTTCACACGGAGACACTAGAGATGGCCAGGTGGTATGCAGCTGGAAATGTCCACAACTGGAGGGCTGTGTTTAAGAAAAATACGGAAGTACAAATACAGAATTCATGTACAAAGACACAAAGATATAGAAGTAAATACGATTTATTAAGAGAAAAGGAAATCATTGCACATTACTGGAGACTTGGAGTCTTCTAAACCCACTGAGGCAACTGACGAGAAAGGCTTGCTTAGAACTGCTTCCTCTTTGCAAACTGAAGGCAGGAAACTCTCCACACCCAGGACACAGGAGCCTGTGGGAGGGAGGGCCAGAGGATGAGCTGCCTTTGCTGCGGGCCAAAGTGCCTGTACGTTCTTGTCAGGAGCAGAGGAATGGAGAAGCCAGCTGAGAGGGGCCATATGTGTGCAGAGATGGAGGTGTGCCCGGGCAGAGGCAGGCAGCCTGACTAAGGTTGCCAGGGAACTTTCAATGGGAGGACAGGAGTCCTGCCGCCCACAAATCATAAAGAAAATTGAAAATAGAAACTCTGAAATCGGTCAAAGCATGAATGAGAGATCAAAAGTTCTCTTAAACACTTCCGTGTTTGGAAA